GAGAAGTGGAAAGCAAATGGGAAGAGAGACAACACTCCTTTTCCTCTTTTTTCCTTCTTGTCTCCAGAAAAAATGAGGGGAGCCAGTGGGTTTCCTGACTTCTGTCAGGGAGAGTCTCCAGGAAGCTTGCCCACTTCTGCACAAACAAAACCATTTCTGCAAAAACCCAAGACTCCCATGGGAGACTGGGGGTCTCCAGGCTTAGGGAGGGGGCTCTCTTTCCCTTTCAGCCATCTTCACTTGGGGGCACAGTGCCTTCAAGGTTAACATGGAAGTGAGGGTGTTTTGATGGCCACCATGACACCCTCTACAGTGACTGGCTTTCAGGATGGAGTCCAAGAACCCTAAATATCCTATTTTGTATTAGATAGTCCCACATAATGAAGATCTGTCCCTTCCCAAGTGCCAATAACCAGGATAGCTGATCATCATGAACCAAGGGCAGACAACTGGACCAGCCATACCTAGCTATTCCTGGCTTTGAGGAATGTAGGAACACACAAAAAGATCATCCCTTCACTCTCTCATGCTTTTCCAGGATCTGGATTTGGGGAAAGCTGTTTGGGGAAATCAAGAGACCTGTCAGCCTCATTCTAATGGGACGTGCATGAAATTCAAAGGCCCCAAGGAGTGGCCAAGCCACGAGCAGAATCAGCTGGAACTTGAGGTTTTCAACTCTTGCTGCTAATTGGAATTTCTTGTAATGCTTCATAAAGACAGATTCCTGGGTATGATTCAGTAGGTGTGGACTGGGCTCTGGGATTGCCCAATGGTCTTGGCCTTCTGGTGCTCACATGTCTAGTTAGGCCTTCCCACACTGTACCAGGATTGGCCTGTGCAACCGACATGTGGCACATGCAGAGCAATGCTATGTCACTTTTGAGCTGAGGTTGGATGCTTTCTCACTCACCTATTTTTTTATCACTTGCTTTGGGGGAACCAGCTGCCATCTTGTGAGGATACTCAAGTAGCCAATGGAAAGCCCTCCTGCCTTCAGTCACATGAGGGGGCCACCATGGGAGGGAGACAAAGGCCTCACAAGACAGCCTGGACCAGGACCACCAGCCAAGCTGCTCTCAAAAAGTGTGGTGATAATAAATATATTTTTAAGCAGCTAGGTTTTGAGTAATGGATGACTAGTTGAGTGGGTCTAAGGCAGTGACGGTGAATCTTTTAGAGACCAGTGCCCAAACTGCAACCCAAAACCCAGTTATTTATCACAGCAAAGTGCCAACCTGCAATTAACCCCAAATACTGAGGTTTTAGTTTAGAAAAAACAACTCATACATTAACATCTATTGTCTTAACAGAAAAACAAATAACATGCATGCCATAGGTTCACCACCACTGGTTTGGGTGATAGACAGACAGCCACAGATCTGAGAGCTGCCCCGGCAGTTCTGGGTACAGCTGTGGTCCAGCGTCCAGCATCAGGGCCTTGTCTGCTGAATGTTTTCTCGGGGCAAAGTGTGTGTCATGGCAATGTGTGGCATGTGTGCATGTGGTGTGTGTATGTGTTACATGTGTGTGCTGCATGTATGTGTACATATATAGTGTGTGGTGTACATGAAATCTGTATATGTCCATGTGTGGTGTGTGCTCTATGTGGAGCATGTATGGTATGGGTGTGTGTGGTTGTGCATGTGCATGCACATGTGTGTCCATGTATGCATGTATGGTGTGGACATGTGTATGAGAATGCGGATGCCCTTATCCCAAACTGAACATGGAGATGTGGATGAAGACCTCTTCTACCAGTGGCCTCAAGACCTGTGCATCACTTCTGGGCCCTGGTGGGTCAGGAGTGGTCACTGATTTATTGCTCCTTGAAGAAAGAAACTCCTAAGAGTAGGAAACCTCAGGGATTTGGGCTGATGACTTTCAAAATCTGTTGAATAGCGGGATCATCCCTGCGGAGGAAACCATTCACAAATCCTGATTGGGCGCAGGTCTGGGTGAGCCTGAGCAGGGCACTGGAGCAGCTTCCTCTACCTCCTGCTCCTCCCCAGCAGTGCCCAAGGCCTTCACAGCTTGCAAAGCCCAGCGGGGTCATTATAGATGAGTAAACCGAGGCTCCTGGAGTAAAGTTACACTGCACGGCTATGGCAGATGTCCACAATCTGACTCCTCCCTCCCTAATCCAAACTCTGCACTGCCTAGGACGTCACACTGCACAAGTCATTCGTGGCTTTGGTGTCTGCATGTGTCAGCTGTGGACACAGCCCAGGACTGAGGCTAGTCATCCAAGCTGCTCTCAGCAGGAGTGCCTTTCATTATCCAGAAACATCCGCAGGATTAGGAGTGCTAATCACACCCCACCTCCCCAACACAGGGGCCCCTTAGCCTGATCACCCTCAGAAGGTGGAGCTTGACTCACAGTGTCCTGAGTCTAATGAGAGCAGAAGCCAACAGGCTGCCCACAGAGTGCAGGTGTTGCCCTGTGTCCCATGTGAACTCGGTGCCAGCCTCCCGACCACCAATGGGGCAATGAGGGTCCTCGGTCTCATTTACACTGGGGTGGGGGGCGGTGGTCAGACCTGTTTCTTTTCTGGCCCTGATGCTCCCAGGCTTCTGGCTTGAAGGTCTCTTCCACACCTTGCCTAGGGCAGGGGGCAGCCGGTTCCTCCCCCAGATCAGCTCTTTCAAATGTGCTTTTTACATCAATGAGTGCTGTGGGCAGGTAGGGAAGAAGGGAGAAGGCGATCATTTGGGGGGACTTTACCCTGTTATCTTTGGGGCCAGGGCTGACCTTACATTAGCAGTGATGATAACAGAGACTGAGCTGACGCTGTCCTCTAACCTACACACCATGGCCAGGGCTATCGCTTCATTAGCCTCTCCAATATGTAGGAATGTTGCAGGAGTGCTACAAGAATTCACTCAGATTCCCAGTCTGTTGATACTTCCCCACACTTGCTCCTCTTCCCTCTATGTGTACCTACACACCATCACCACTGATCTTCTCCTAAACCATCTGAAGACAACTGCCAGTACGAGGCTCAAATCCCTCAGATATTCTACAGTGCATTTCTCAAAACCAAGGGCATTCACCATTACTACCCCAGAAATGATGGTAGGTTTTCTTAGTTTAAGTCATCAGAGTTACATGGCAGCCGTCTATACCACCACTCATGGTGTTAGCCTTGGCCACCTGGTCAAGTTGGAGCCTGCCACGTTTCTTTACCATAAAGTCACTGTAATTCCTTTGCACCCTTGTATGTGTCCCTGCCTGCTGCCCAGAGAGTCTCAGTCTGCAATACAGGGAGCAGAGTCCATGCAGAGATGGTGGTCTCAATGAGCATGGAAGACAGAGCGCAAAATAAGGGAATCCAAGACAACTGGAAAATGAAAGGCAGAGCTTTAGAAAAAAGAGAGCTGCCCAGAGAGAGAAGTCCAGGAGTACCCAGAACCTTGAGTCCCTGGATGAGTATTAATTTGTGCACATGTATGAGGACATGTCCAAGGCTGGGGGAAGCCCCGAAAAAAGAAATGCAGCAAGGCCCTAGGATCACACAGGGTTGGAAACAGCGGCGTTCCTCCAGCCAGCACAGAAGCACCTCCTAAGACACAGGGCATTGCATAGCAGTCGCCAAAGGGTGTGCTGACTCACTAGCATGGAAAAATCTGCCCTAAAGTCTTCCCTCCATAATAAGTTTAAAAGTCTTGAAAGGATCAGACTGGTTTAAAGTAACTGGCTTCCAGAACAAACTTCAAAATATTTAAAGGAATACTGGCCAACAAATACCGCCCCCCCCAAGAAAACTTAGCCTACAAAAATGTAAAACTCCTAATGTTTGGCACCTAATATAAAATTATCAGACATGCAAAGAAAAATATGACCCATAACCAGGAGGAAAAAATCAATTAATAGAAACACTGTGAAATAACAAGGATGACAGATTTAATAGAGAAGGACATTAAAATATCTGTTAGAGGGCTGGGGATTTAGCTCAGTGGTTTCGCTGCCTGCTGCGCAAGTGCAAGGATCCGAGTTTGATCCCCGGTACCAAAAAAAAAAAAATCTGTTAGAAATAGGTCCCATATGCTCAAGAAGATAGGACAAAGCATGAGAAATATAAATATATATATATGTATATGTGTGTGTGTGTGTGTGTGTGTGTGTGTGTGTATGTAAGTGGTAGAACACTTGCCTAGCATGAATGAGGCCTGGGTTCAATCCCCAGTACCACCACTACCACCACCACAAGTCAAGCAGAGCTTTGTTGAGTCACAGAAAAATATGAAGAACCACAGCACACATAGAATTGGAGCCCCAGTGTTGGGGGAAGGAGGAGGAATAATGGCTGAAAGGTTTCCAAATTTGAGGAAACTATTAACTCCATATCTAAGGAACTCAATAAACCCCAAGAGGGGAGAAAAAGGTGGAAAGCCACAGGAAGGTCACCAGCAGTGGTGGGCTCAGTGTCTTCTGAGGGTCCAGCACTCTAACTGCCTTCAGCAGGGCCACCCCATCCCTGAGAGGAGCCAGTCCCTGCTGCTTCTGCCCAAAGTCCAGCACTGTGTGCATCTAATGCCTGGCTTCACTGCAGCTCCAGTGTGAGACCTCTTTGTTCCAGAGCCTGGCCTCACTCTGGGAGCTGGGCCCAATCAATGACAAAGTCAGCAAGCACAGCAGACACCTGGAGGCTGACAGGACAACTCCACTTTTCAGAAGGCTAAACATAGCCCCTGCCACACGAGACACCCAGCAGCTCACCACAAAATGCTCACCTACAGAATTTCAGGTCAAGGAATGAAAACACCCAAGTTGGCTGAGATGCATCTACAGGACATCATGTCAGCCATCAGTGCCCATGGTATCACCAAGGACAAGCTGTTCCACACACTGCAGAGGGGGACACGGACACCCCAGTCTTGTCCATCTATCACTGCAGTGCATGGCTATGGAGCCAGGGCCAGCTGGAGTGCCCAGGGCCTGCCTAGGCAGAGCACCAGGACTGAGGGTAGGCAAGGTGCGAGAGAATCTGCCCTGCACGTACCTGCCAGGCTGGAAGGACCTTCTCAATGTCATTCAGGTTGATGCCATCTCCATCTTCCAGCTTCCCTTTTCCACACCTGGACCAGAAAAGACAGAAGGTATTGGGAACAAGGCTCACATAAGTATCCTGTCCCAGCCCTGGCGCAGGAGGAGAGTGAAGGTCAGGACAGACCTGGCCCCGCCCTCCTGCAAGGACTGCAGAATCAGTTGTCCCACCCTGAGGAAATGGCCCTGGAGACAGGGGTTTCTCCTCCTCTCACGCAACATCCAACTTCCAGGGAGGCAAAAGAGGACTGGAGGAGCCCCCTGACCCTTCTTGGCTAATGAACACCCCAAAGCCTGTCACAGCTCTTACAAAAGCTCTTCCATCTTGTTCCATTGCAGCAAAGGGGAAAAAAAAATCAGTGAACAGAGACCAAGAAACTTTCTCAAGGTCACACAGGCTGGCAGGGGCTGGCGGAAAGCCCAAGAGGGCTTCTTTTCTCCTTGGCTTGGCTCAGAGCCTGCTCAGATATCGTGAGCCCTGCCTTCTGGGGTATCCCCTGTGGTGGGCACATGCTCAGGCCTGAGCTGCCGGCCCAGTTCGCAGGCCAAAACTCCAGATCTTCTGCGTAGTTAAGGGCACAGATTCTGACACAGGACTGCTAGGGTATGAACCCAGCTGCAGCTGCAACCCTTACTAGCTGGGTGACCCTTGCAAGTTGATTCACCTCTTTGTACCTCAGTTTCCTTGTTTGCAAAATGGGGGAAAATTAGTGCCTAACATCATAAATTGGCTGGAGGACTGACTTCATTAATAGATTTAAGTGCTTAGGTGTTTACAATTATGCCTGGCACAGAATAAATATTTTAGGTATGTATTATTTATATGCATTAGATATAAAATATAATATGTAAAACTGGGAAATATAAGTAATAAATGAAATAAAATGATAACATAATAAAATAAATAATCATGTAACTGTATCACTGCTGCTTTGTCTCCTCCTATGGCTACTGTCCTTGTTTAGGGCAGAGCAACAGCAAGGTGACTGATTAATGGCCCAGACTCTGGGGCCAGCTCAGCCTCTTGCAACTTTCCATTGCTGGGTCTCCTAGTCTCCCACATCAAAGTAAAGATCATAGCTTCGACCATCTAGGTGGTGGCAACAAACATCCAGAAGAGGGGTGGGTGCATAACATGTGCACAATGAGCACTATTACCATTGTCAGTACTGACTGAAGTCCAGCAAGGGCTGCCCTTGGGCTGGTGGCAGCACTTTCCAGCCCCAGAGTTAATGAAACTCTCAAATTTCAGCGTAATTCATTCACTTAAATATTTACCAAATATCTATTTCTGTTTGGGCCCTTGTCAACAAAATAAAGCCCTGGGTTTTTGGTAGAGCAAGTCTTCAACCTGTCTATTAGACCTGTGAGCCTGACTGCCACTAGGGGGCAGCATAAGACAAGAGCCACAAAAGCCCTATGGACAGAAGTGCCGGGAACCCAAATCTGGCAGCCCAAGCCAGCAAATGCTTAGGTGGAAGAGAACCCCCCACCCCCATTAAAGCCTTCATTTTGTCAACCACTGTATGCTTCTGCACTAGGGTCTGGGCTAGGGGCTGGGACCCGGGTTAAACAACACTGGGTTAAACAATCGTGAGAGATTCAGCCCTGCGTCAGGGGCCAGCGCTGTCAGGGACAGGAGCGGGTATGCTGCAGGAACTCGGAGGTGCAGCGGGTGGAACTGACTTGGGCAGAGGGCAGAAGGGAGGTGGGACCAGGCAGTGTGAAAGGATGTCCCAAGCACTGGAGTAATCCCAGCACTCTGGGAGGCTAAGGCAGGAAGAGCACAAATTTGAGCTTAGTCTGGGCAACTTAGCAATTTAGCAATTTGAGACCCTGTCTCAAAATAAAAAGAATAAAAAGGGCTCTGGATGTAGAGTTCTGCGTAGAGGCCCTGGTTTGAACCCAAGTACCAAAAAAAAAAAAAAGCCCCAGGTGAATGAGCGGCCTAGCAGAGGCCAGGACCTAAGCACATGTGTACTGCATGCAGGATGGCGGGCTTCACCCTGCTGGCGTGGGTGGGGGTGGGGTGCGAGGGGCAGGCCAAGGGCAGAAGGACTGCAGAGGTGAGGCTTGAGGACAGCCGAGCTGTGGGTGGGTGAGGCTTGGGTGCAGACAGGTGTAGGGAGGGTGTAGTGGCCACCAGGGAAAAGAGGAAAATCACCCCCACACACACACTGGGGGGCTGCTGGGCTGCAGATGAGGAAGTGGAAAAAGGCCTGGAACATTCATCCAGCCATCTTTGAACCAATGTGAGGTGTGAATGAAAAATACGGTGAATGTCTAAATTTTAAAAATTTATTACAGTAAAGACATTGGCATTAACCTTCCTTAAAATACTCCCCCTTGCTTCAAACACACTTATCCCACCATTCCTGCTACTTTCAGTGGGGAGTGGGCAGGGGAAGAGTGCTCCCCAAGCCTGCCCTGGTTGGGTTAGTACCTCCTGCAGGACTTCAGGTGTGTGGGGGAAGGTGGCTGCAGCCAGCTGAGTCACTGCTGCCAACCAGGTTTCCAAGGCAACAGCTTGCTCTGATTTCTGTCCTTCCATGGAAACACAGGCTGCAGGAAGCCTTGGCAACTGAGTGGTGCCCGGCTTCTGAGCGAGGCCGCAAGGGCTGGACACGTCGAGTCCACCCCGTGCATCAGGACTCTGCGGGGAATGGAGTTCCTGGCCTGACCACAAGGTGGCCACAGGACACTGCCCCACACTCCCAAGGAACCCCAGAGGGACAAGATTTGGCTAGAGCCAGGTGTTCCTGGCAGACCCCAGGCCTCTCTCTCAAGTCTAGTCAGCTCTTGCTGGGTGGGTGAATTTAGGTCTGCGGCTGGCGAGTGGGTGTGGCCTGTCACTCTGGCTTCAGAAGAGACAGTGTCCCTCCGCACAGGGGACAAGGGGCATGCTTGTCCTGATGGTGGTTAATCCCCGTGAACTGGACTGACGCCTTTCAAATGCTGAAGCTCAACATGCATTCCCCTTAGACACCTGCACGCAGTAAGACAGTGGCATCACTTTGGTCCTCTGGGCCTCAGTTTCGCCTCTGCTTTCCCCAGCTATGAGCTCTCAGGGGACACAGGTGAGACCGGAGATCCCAGGAAGACATCATCTTTCTCCTGCAGCCTTTCCTAGAGGACTTGGCCCCACAAGGTGCTCTGTTTTCTAATTCTTTTTGGATTTACTTTATTTAACCTTTCTGAGCATGACTTCTTTCATTTCAACATGAGAAGGAGATCGTCTCTTCCCAGGGGGCTACTTGTTACACAGCAGGGAGACCAATGTTGCCAAGAGAAGTGGCCTTAGGGGTGGCACAGGACAAAGAGTGACAGTGAGAGGACATGAGTGATGCGGGAAAGTGTCCAGTAATGTAGCTTAATGTTTAGGTCTGAAGTGACAGGGAACACTGGAAGGAAAAAAATGAAAGCCACCAGTATAATAAAACAAACAAGCAGAAAAGCAGAAAATAAGAGGTGAGGGTGAAGATGTAGAAAAATAAGAATCCTTGTATATTACTAGCAAGAATGTAAATATTCAGCTGCTTTGAAAAAGTCTGGCAGCTCCTCAAAAAAGACAAAGAATTACCATATGACTCAGCAATTTCTACTCCTAGATGTCTACCAAAATAATTGAAAAGTAGGGATTTAAACATATATTTGCCAAATGTTCATACCAGTATTATTCATAAAACCTAAAAGGTGGAAAGAACCCAGATATCCACCAACAGATACATGGGCATACAAGTGGTAGTGCAGCCACAAAGTGGACTGTGGCTGCTCAGCCATGAAAAGGAGTGAAGCACCGATACATGCTCCAGTGTGGATGAAACTCCAACCCTTTATGCTGAGTGAAATAAGACAGACATAAAAGGTCACACGTGAGTCCATTCTTACAAACTCTCAGAACAGGTAAATTCATAGAAATAGAAACGTGGTTTTCAGGTGTTGGGGGTGGGGGTGTAGAGGGCGATGGGGATTTTATTGGGGTGATTAAAATGTTCTGGAACTAGAGAGGTGGTAGTTTGCAGAACATTGTAAATATGTGAAATGCCACTGAACTGCATTTTAAAATGATGAATTTTATGTTATGTAAATCTTGCCTCAATAAAAATTATTTTAACAAATAGAATCTATAGTTATTTGTCTCACTACCTGTGGTTGGAGCTATCACTAGTGTCTGAGGGCAGCCCAGACCCCGAGGCCAGTTTTAAGAGGACTGCAACACTGATGCACAAAGCCAACAGAGGGGAGATGGCCCAGTGTGACGGTCGGTGCTACACCAGTGGTTCCCGAGGTGGGGTCCCTGGGCTGCAGCATCGGCAGCCCCTGGGACTTGGCAGAAATGCAGATTCCCAGCCTTGCTCCTCTCCCAAACCTAATGAATCAGAGCCTCTGGGGCAAGGGCCCAGCCAGAGGTACGAGGGGTGGAGTTCCCAATGCTTGCTCAAGTCTGAGACCCACTGCCCCGGTGGAGCCGCTGTGGGTGGTCAGGAGCAGCCACTGTGGGCTAAGGGGGTCTGGGGAAAAGGCGGAGATGCTGAGAGCAGCCAGTGAGCCTGCAATGCTAGGGCAGGGCGGGGAGAGCATCCTGGACGTTAGTGGTGTGCCCAGTGCTGCAGGACCCACCCACCTCCGCCCTTACCCTTCCCGGTCAATGTGTTGCAGGGGCTGCTTCGGCGCATGTCGGAGCTTGCGGTGGAACTGCGTGAAGTCTAGCTTTTCAGGCTGCAGGTCCCAGGTGGCACCACTAGAGGGCGAGAAATGGGAGGTGGGGAGAGGAGCGCAGTTAGTGACTGAGGGGGCAGGAGGCTGAGTCCAGCGGGGCCCTGTCCTGTCCTCCAAAGAGGCGGGCAGATGCGAGTGCAGGAGGGCACCCATCCCCAAGCGCCAGGGCCCGACTGGAGACCCCAGGGTGGGCTCCATACCTACTTTATAGCCATCCCCGTCTTGGCTTGTGTCTAGATGTTCCCCCTAAGCCTCATGCAGATGAGGTGGGGCTTGCTTTTTCTGAGGTGGCTGAATCTAGAGTGTGTGATTGATTCATGGTGGAGCTAGGCCTGAGGGCAATAGGATTAAGGGTGTGAGTGCTACCCACCCTTAGTAGTCTGGATAAAATAAAAAGGTCAGGAAGAAACTATTAAGGTCCCTTGTTGTTTTTGCTGCTCTGTGTGCGCCATGTTGTTTTTCCTTGGCGATGCCTGTTTGCCATCCTTGCCTTGAAGCCTGCCAATTATGGACTGAAACCTCTGCAAGCTGTGAGCCAAATAAACCTTTCCTTCTTTAACTTTGGGTATTGGGTATTTTGTCTCAAGAATGAGAGAAAAAGTACCCAACACACCTCCTCAGAGTTTATCGAGGAAAGCTGGGGGGGTTGGGGGGTGTAAAATCTGTCACAGGGCCTCCGACAGGAAGTTCAAAATGGCCACAGGATCTGAGGTGGATGAGTGATGGAGCAAGCGCTAGTACTCAGGGTTCCCAGCCCAGGAGACCTTCCGTACTGGGGAAAGCTGTGCCCCAGGCAGGGTGTGCTTGAACCCCGAGTTAGGCAGCTCTGGGGACAACTGTGGCTCAAGGAATAGTTGGTGGACACCATGGCAGAGGCTCCTTAGCAAGCCATTTAAGGGAACTGTCCCCTAGTCCTTGGGAGCCCTAGCCAATTCTCGAGGGCCATCAGGAGACGTCTGCACAATTCTCCCTTTTTCCTGGACTTCTCATATGGGAAGAGTGGGGGTTGCCACTTCCACTGTCCGTCACCTGCCATATGCCCCTCCTCTGCTCTTGATCTTAACCCCTCACCTCTCTCTCCTCCCTTTCAGTTTGTTTCTGTTTTCCCTTGCACTCACTTTTCTCTCTGCCTCCTCTTTCATTCTTCTCTTCGCCTCTAATGTTCTCAGTGGCCTTATCTTTCTCCCTTCGAGCCCCTTTCTCTGCCCTCCTTCCTCTTTCTTCTCATTCTTTCTACTTCACCTGCCTCTGTTTCCCTCCACTTCTTGGTCAGTGAACACTGACTCAGCAGGGCAGGAGGATGAGTCAGCCAAAGCCACACACTGCAGAAAAGGGAGGAGAGGAAGTTACCTGAAGGAATCAAAGGTGTTGGCAGCCCAGATGTCTGTGCCCAGCATGTCCAGAGAGTTGTCTTTGCTGCCATTCTAGAAAAGATGGGGTGAGAAAGATGACATTACTTGTTTGGCCAGGATAGTGAGAACAAGTGGGCGAAAGCCTCCCCAAGGCCCAAGCCAGGAGGGCTGCAGAGGTCCTTGCTGTCCCCCATGTTGGTCACCATAGACAGCTTGGAGGTTGGAGTGAGGCAGTGGAGTGAATGTCCCAGCTGGTGCACCTGGAGGAGCCAGGAGAACGATGCTAGAAATACCAGGACCACCCCTGGTCAAGAGCCCTGATTCAAGGGTATTTTACAGAGGTATGCAGTCAGGTAGGGGAATAGCCAAGAGCTCTGTGCCCCCAGCCCATGGCTCTTTCTTCAAACCCTCTGCAGAAACTCCACGTGACCCACTGATGAGCCACTATCACCACTGCCAGCCTGATGACAGTGGCTTCTCTCCAGGCAGGGGCTCTGCAAAGCCAGGTATCCTGGAAGGTCCACGCAAGGACTGACTTGTTTGGAGTTAAGCCTTACCTTCTACAAAGGCCCCACTGGCCAAGACTACACCAGCAACTGAATTTCTCCCTAAGTCAACCTGCTCCAGCTTTCATCCTCCAGAATTTCCTACACGATGCACCTCATCGAAAACTACTCGATGCAGCATCTATGGTTTGGTTTCTTGGCCTGTTGGCTGGTGATCTCCCCAACAGATTCTCCAATTTCCTGATGTCACTCCTGATGCCTTTCAACCTTCCTCCCTGCTACTGTTTGGTTTCCATCATCACAGGCCTTAAAAACAATACTTCCATGGCCATTCCAGCTGAATAAGTACATGCCTTGGGACCTAGGAATTCACTTCCAGGTATGCATGCAATAGAAATGTGCTACAAAGATGTACAGCAGCACTTTTCATATCAGCTCCAACTGGAAACCATCCAAATGCCTATCAACAGTCAATCAGATAAGTTAATCATGGAATGTACCCAGATTGGAATATCACACAGCAGCAAGAGCATATCTAAAGGACATGCAATTACATGAGTAAATCTCACAAACAGAATATGAAACAAAAGAATCCAGACACAAAGGAGTACTGATTATATGATTCAATGTATATAAAGTTCAAGAACAAGCAAACTACCCTATGGTGACAGAACTCAGTCACTGGAAGAGGATACCATGAGGGTCCTGGGGACTGGTAATGTTCTGTTCTTTGATCTGGTGCTTGTTATATAGGTTGGTTTAGTTTGTGAAAATCCATTGAACTGTACACATATGATGTATACACTTTTCTGTATCTGTTATTACTTCTTGCTTAAGATTCCTGGTAGTGTCCCCAGCCTTCATCTTTGGGGTCTTTCTGTAGGGCTTAATTTTATTGATATCTACTATGACTGGTCTGTCCCTGGATCACCATTTCTCAGGGCCACATGCTCACACATTGGAAGACCTCTGTCCCATATGTGCCAGGCCTGGACAGACCCTGAAGAGATGAAGGTAGAGGAGCCACAGGCCCACCCACTAGGATGGTGTGGGATGACAGGCACACAATAAAGAATTACAACACAGCACTATGTTCTCCAGCTTGGGCACTGAAGTAGGATCAAAGCACAGGCAGTTTCCCCAAGGAGGTCAGGGGATGAAAGAATTCCTGGGATCAGGCAAGCAGAGGGACAAGGAATAGAGGGGTCATCTAGGCAAAGGGAGAAGAAAGGGCTCTTGGCAGGATATACAGCCATTCTGGATAGCTTAGAGTCCCTGTGTTTGCCCTGCAGGTTGGAGAGTGTGCCAGGGTGACCTGGTGGTCTTCAACATTATCCCCTCTTAGTCCAGGTCAGAGCCTACTAGGCACTGCACAGAGCTTCTCAGTAATTGTTGTGGGCTAAACTGGGTCCCCCTAAAACTCACATGTTGCAGTCCTAACCCACAATGCCTCAGAATGTAACTGTATTTGGAGGCAGAGGCAGAGGTGTAATGCATTATGCTGAGGTCACTGGGGTGAGCCCTAGTCCAGTGTGGGTGGTCTCCTTCTAAACAGGAAGTTTGGATGCACAGGGACCGGAAGAATTCATGCCCTCAAGGCTGGCATGATACTGCCATGGCCAAGGAGCTGTTGGAGGGTAGGAGAGGTCTGGAGCAGATCTTCCCTGGTGCCTTCGGAGCAGCCTGCTTCTGTCGACACGTTAATTTCAGGTGTCTGGCCTCCATAATGGGGAGATGATGATACACTTCTGTTGTTTGAAGCCATTGACTTTGTGGTCAGATGTCTGAAATCAAGCAGCCCTAGCAAACTAACACAGTGATCAACCAACCGTGTCATTTACCAACTCCTTTTGTGAGGCTGGTCCATGTTATGATTTAGATCTAAAGTCTCCAAAAGTCTTATGTGTTCAAAGGTGAGGCTTTTGGAAGGCAACTGGATCATGAGGGTGCTGCACTCATCAGTGGATTAATCCACTGTTGAGTTTGAAGCTAACTGCGCTGTTAGGAGGTATGGCCTGGTTGGAGGAGGTAAATCACAGGAGTGTGATCTTGGAGACTGTATCTGGTCCCTGGCCCCTTCTTCTCTGGCTTTCTTCCTCCACTGCTTTCTGGCTACCATGAATTGAGCAACTTTCCTCCACCATGCCCTTCTTCCGTGACGTTCCTGCCTGGAAGCCAGCCAGCTGTGGACTGAAACCTCTGGAAACATGAGTGAAGCCTTTTTCCCTTCATGTTGTGGGTACCAGGTATATTGTCCCAGCAACGGAAAAGATGACTAATACAACACCCTTTCCCTCTGAGAAAGGTCAGCAGACACTTCCCTGAGGCCTTGTGTCCTCACAGATATACAGCAGATGGGTTCCCAAGGGCCTGGGTCTCCCACAGCTGCAAACAGAGAAGCCTGGGTAGATTAGCACAGACCTGGGCCAGTGTGGCTGGTCTCTGACCACCGCCACTTCTACTTCTGGAGGAGCCAGCCGGTAGAGGGCCCACCTGCCATCCTCCTCGCTGCCCTCTTGGCTGCAGACCACGGCCAACGTCACCCCAGTACCTGCCCCACAGAGCTCACACAGACAAGGCTAAGCCTCAGGTGGAGATGAAAAGGGGACACATGTACTGTGCACTTACTGAGTGTCTCTTGCTCATAAGCAATGAGAACCCAGGTAGACATGAACCCGAGCCAGGTTCAGGGGTCTCTATCCTCCCCTTCTCCAGTCATCAGAGTCCCTTGGAACCCTGGCAAAGAAACTTGGGATTTTGTTTCGTTTTGAATTTTCTTCATCTTCCACAAGATGGGACAGAACTTGTGAGCAAGTTCTTCTCCTCCTCACCCCCTCCACACCCTGACTGTCCAGACCCTTGTGGTGGAAGCCAACCTACTTCCTTCCCAGAGAGAGTGCGCGCTTTGCTGGTGGGCTGGCCTTTAACTAGCCTGAGGGAGGGGGCACACAAGGGCCCAACCTCCGGGTCTCCCAGCAGAAGATGCCCTGGACCCCAGCCTCACAGGAAGTGGCAGGAGGTAAGGAGCCTGGGACAGAGGGCAGAAGCTCACCTGACCCTGGGGCTGCAGGAGAACTGGCGGGTGAGAGCTCCCCCCGAGCTGTTTAACCTCAGGCAACACCTTTAGCTTTCCTGGGCCTCATCATAAAAGGAGGACTGGGCACTGCCAGCCTGAAGGCTTAGGTTCTTGGTGACTGGAGACTTTCTCACCCCGGGATGCATGTGTACACACACACACACACACACACACACATGCACTGTATATCACATACACTCTACATCACATACACACATACCACACACACACCACATACACACATACACCACACATGTATACACGCAGACAACTACATACACAAATGCATGTACATAGACACACATGCATATACACACTACATACATGTAGGTACCACATATATATACATACATACATCACACCACACACTAACACACATATACCACATATATACAGATACAAACTACACACACAGCACACACATGTACATAGCACACAATATACATACCACACAGATGCACGTACAAGTCACACACATATATGCCCATGTATACACCATACATGCACACCAAACATACACATACAGATACACCGCACATGTTGCTACATAGCACATGTGTATAGATGCATAAAAACACATACATACACATATACTACACATAAAAATACACAGGCATACTCCCCACATGTATAACACACATACACATACACAGATGCAAATACAGTCTTGGGTCGCTTAACAGGGATCTATTGTAAGAAATGCATGCTTAGGTGATTTTGTGGACACCACAGAATTGTATTTACACAAAAATAGGAGGTGTGGCTGACTCTCCTTGGCTGTCAGGTGTAGGCTGCACCTGCACACTGGCGTACTGACTGCTCCCAGGCAATGGCAGCACAATGGTACTTGTTATTTGTGTACCTAAACAAAGCTAAACATGGAAAAGGCATAGGAACAGGTATAAAAGGTCTCTGAAAAGAGAAACCTGTGTAGGGCACTTGCTGTGAGTGCTGTGAGCGGGACCAGCACTGCTGCCGAGGCAGAGAGCAGGCGGAAGGTGAAGGATCGGGCAGGGACCGTGTGCTGCTGCAGGCCTTACACATGAGGCCCGTTGGCTCCACTGGACTCCGGAAACTGTTTCACTTCTTTAATAACAAATTAACCCTAGATTACTGAAGCTTTCTAGAAAATTTTAAAATCATTTGGTTGTCTTGTAATAATATTTAGCTTAAATCACAAATATATTGTACAGCTATACAAAACTTTAAGTTTTTGTATTATTATTTTATAAGCTTTCTCTAGTTTTAAAATTTTAAATTTTTAAAATGTTAAAAACTAAGGCACACACACAAGATACAGTGGCCGAAGTCTATGCAGGGTCAGGATCATCACTATCACTGCCTCCACAGCTTGTCTCCTTGGAAGGGTTTCAGGGGCAGTGGCATGCACAGCGCTGTCAGCCCTAGGATGCCAGTGCCTCTGGAATATTTCCTCGGGATCATGCCTGAGGCTTTTACAGTTTACCTTTTTCATATGTAAGGAGGACAAC